GAGAGAGAGAGAGAGAGAGAGAGAGAGAGAGAGAGAGAGAATTTTTAATATTTATTTTTTAGTTTTTGGCGGACACAACATCTTTGTTGATATGTGGTGCTGAGGATCGAACCTGGGCCGCACGCATGCCAGGCGAGTGCGCTACCGCTTGAGCCACATCCCCAGCCCCAGACGCTCATTAATAACTAGATTTTAAAATATAAATGTGAATTAAGCTTATGGAACTGATTTTTACAGTATAAATAACCATTTGAAACCCTTTTCTCTAAATTCTCCCTTTATCCCCTCTCAACCTTATTTATCAGGTGCTATGTAGTAGGCAAAGTGGGACATAGTCTCAGATTTCCACAGCATCATTTAACTCAGTAAAACCAAGTATGCCTTCCAGTTTTTGAAACCTTATATTTTGCACTAAAAAGATAGCTAGCTGACAAGAACAATTTAAAAATAGCAGACCATGGACAGGTGACAAAATGTCACACTGGCAGCACCAGACTGCATTAACAAAAATCACCAGATGTCACACACTTGATTCAATTTTCACAGCTGATTAAACAGCAGTATTTGTTGGACAAAAGGAAGAAAAAAGAAATGGCCTCATCTGAATTTGGAACTAGTTTTCCTTTTGCTGTTATATATTTTCTTTCTTGTCTGAAACCCCTTAACAACCATAAAAATGAGTACATACAACATATTAAGAAAGAATATATAGAAAAATTCTAGTCTTAGAAAAGAAACCATCCCATATGCACACTCCTTAAATTGGAAGAGTATAAATCAAAATGATAACTGTGCTTGTCTTTAATGATATAAAATCTTCATTTTCCTGTACTATCTAATGTATCTCCAGTGAGACTGTTGCATTTTGTAATCTAAACTTTAATTTTTGAAGAGGTAACTAGCTTGCAGAAGCCATAAGTGAATTTATTTATTTATTTATTTATTTATTTATTGAAGTTCTGAGGCAAGTAATCTGCCACAGAGCTACAGCTCTGACCCATAAGTGATTTTACCAAAACAATACAAAACAAAACATAACAAAACAAAAATAACATTTAATTGGAGGGGAAAATTAAATTATATTTAAATAATTGGTTATATCGTTCTGGCATTGACCCCAAGCTTTTTAAAATAAAAGCATGTGTTGTTAGCTTTCATCCACAGATCCATTGAAGTCAAACAGAATTAGGGAGAATACCAGGAAAAGTAAAAAGTGCTTTGCTTTTCAGCAATTAGTGATGCCTTCCATCTGCAAAATAGTGCTTAAGGCTCTTGTTTTTCTTCCTTAAAAAAGATTGAATTGGAAGTAATCAGCACAGGATAGAGAATGATAATTAGAAAATAACCCAGCTTCATTCCAGTTCAACTTTCTAAGCTGAAAAGTTCTAACCTCTTATGAAAAGAGTCAAAAAGGATCCAAGCTTTGAGTGATGAAAGCAGCACCCCGTTAAGTTTGAGAATATTTGTCCATCCAGAAATATACAAAAATTGTTATTTGGTGTAGTGGCTATAAACTAGATAATTCTTTCCTACAAACATAGACATACGGAATAAAAGAAGTTGAATGAGGATCGGTTGAATTTGGGCTTACTTGATTTCCTTGGTAACCCTTTATTATTCTAGTAATATTAGGGTACCTAGCTTTGTAGGAACTACATCCTTCTCTGAGTCACATCTAATATTCATGTATATTAGTATTTGGTAGTCAGGATTTTCTGGAAATAATGGAGGAGAGAACACTGGTATAGCTAATTGAAGCCAGAATGTAAATTGTTCTTACTGAGTCAAAACCCTGTTCTGGTGACAGATTCTTCTATAATAGTTTCTGATGAAGGTTATGGTAGGAGATAGCACTCATTACATATAGTATGAACCATAATGTTCAGGGACTTTAAAATGACTTAAAAATCAGAAAACATAACAAGGCATATGGAACATTTGCATATGTAGATACATTAGGTGTGTCTTCCAACAATGGGATACTTTTTGAAATTTCTAATAATTAGCTTCTAATAAATACAAAAAGGTCTGAAATCTATAAAAATAGGCATGGATTTTCTGTCAAAACCATTATAATGGATTCTGAATAGGAATTTTAGTATATTATAAATGCTAGCAAGATAGTCTCTACAAAACTAGGACAATTGCAATATTCTTTGTCCTAATAAGATTTAAAATAATAAAAACAAAATCATTTTTATTGAAATCCCTGTAAAATGCTTACTGGCAAATTAGAAAAATTTTATTAGAATTCATAAATTGTTGATGATTTTTCTGTTCTTACACACACACACACACACACACACACACACACACACACACATCAATGCAAGTGATACACCTACACTTCTGAGGAATTTGATTTTTATACACTTTTTGTTGTTTTGAGGGAGCTGAGAATTAAACCCAGGGCTTTGCACACACTAGGCAAGTATTCTTCCAATGAGCTACACCCCCAGCCCTTCACTAATTCTTAGTATGAAATGACCTTTCACAAATTATCATAGAATATTTAAGAAATTAGGATGTTTTGTTTAGGTAAAAAAACATAATTTTTTCCTAGGACTTTATAATTCCTCCTTTTTATTCGAGGTAACTGCTCTGTTTCTTCTTCTGTGATGCTTTTGTGCCAGAAGAGCTTGATGATGCTTTTTTTCCTGTAATCTTCAATAACAGAGTTTAATACCAAGTAATAATTGTCTCTTTTGCAATTATGTATAAAATCATATTCATTGTAAAAATCGATCGATTTTACTTTATCTCCAGCTTTCTCTGTTAATAACTGTTTTCTCCCCACATATATGCTTGACATTTTTAAATTTAAATAGTGGTTGTGAAATAGAATTAACATTTTCTGAGAATTTCATAATCCTTGACATAACTGGACATTAAAACCTCAAAGAGCTAGGTATAGTGGTACATGCCTATAATCACAGCAATTTGAGAGGCTGAGGCAGGAGATTGCAAGTTCGAGGCCAACCTCAGCAATTTACTGAGGCCCTAAGCAACTTTGGGAAACTCTGTGTCAAAAAATTTTAAAAAGGGCTGGGATGTAACCCAGAAGTAAAGCACCCCTGGGTTAAATTCCCAGTACCAAAAAACAAAAACACCAAAAAAAAAGCTCCGTGGTAGAGTGATTCTCTGAATTCAGTCCTCAGAACAGCAACAAAACAAAACCTTGTAGAACCAAGTTTATACATATTAGCTTTAAAAACTGTTGTGTTAATAACTGTTTTGTTGAAAGAATTGGTCAAAAAATTTTACCAAGTACATTTTCCCCCATACAAGATACTGTTTAATTTTTCTATTGATATATCCACTTCTTGGTCTCAAATAACAAATGAAAAAAAAATCAAATATCTACATCTTTCACTTTTATCCCTGAGGGTCATTAGTTGAAACTTCTGATTCCAGCTCATCATCTAGTAGACCAGAGATTTCGAAACTCTGTGAAGGGCTAAAAAGTAAATATTTTAGGCTTTATAGGCCACATGGCCTCTATCGCATATTATTATTTGTTTTTGTTTGATTTTGCAACCCTTTAAAAATGTCAAAATAGTTCTTAGCTCAGAGACATACAAAAACAGGCAGTTGACCAATATGGCCAAAAATTTTCAACTCCTGTAATAATTGTAAGAATAAAGGTCTGGAAATTAATATTATGCCCAAGGTCATAAAACTAGTTAATGATGGGGAAAGCATAAAAACTCTCTATATTTTTAAACCAGTAATTTTTTCCCCACTCTGTTACATAAATTTCACTATCTTTCTTCTGGTTGCCATTCTAATAATTATGTTGCAATTTTGAGTCATTATGAAACCTGTTTCTTTTTATTGTCTCTAAGCTTCAAGTTTATATACTTTTTTTTTTGGCTGCTTGAATTTGAAAGGCACTATGAATGATTGTTTAAATTAAATTCTTAATACAGGGAATTGGCATGTTCAAATTGGAATGTGGAAGATGTGAAAATTTCAGACTATTATAACAGAAGCTTCTTTTTTGTTTTGTTGTATTTTATTTGTATTGAGACTTTGCCTTTGTTTTAAGACTTTTCATGTGTATGTTTTATGACTTGATTTACAAAGTTGTAATTGCTTTGGCCTTTAGTAGCATTTTTGTTATAGATTGATCTGTTTTAACTTTTTGTAATGTTAATATTTTATAATGTGTCTGAAATTATTATATTGAGTTTTCTTTGGCTTAAAATAAAATTACTTTATTTTTTTAGGTCGCATGGGAATAAATTTCCACCATCCGGGAACAGATAATATTATGGCACTTAACAGTAAGTCCTCGTATGAAATATTCTGTAAAAGCAACAATCATGTTTGCAACATATGATTTCCACCTTTCTTATTAACTGTTCATTATATTTCAACCTTTCATTGAACATAGTGTCGGCCATTATTCTATACCAGTAGTTCTCAAAAGTGTGGTCCTTGGGATTAACACATCAGCCTTCCTTAGGAAATTATTAAAAATGCAAAGTTTCCAGCTCTTCTACATACCTACTTAATCAGTTTAAGGATGGGACCCAGAAATCTGTGTATTAAGAAGTCCTGAACAAGATTCTGTGTGGGCTAAAGTTTTAAAATTATGACTCCGTGGCAGAGTTGGCAAACTATAGCCTAGTAAGTCAAATCTGGCTTAATGCCTGGTTTTTTATTTATTTTTATTTTTTAAATTTGTTCTAATTAGTTATACATGACAGCAGAATGCATTTTGTTTCCCTTTTTAATATATATATTTTTTAGTTATAGTTGGACACAATACCTTTATTTTACCTATTTATTTTTATGTAGTACTGAGGATCAAACCCAGTGCCTTGCATGTGCTAGGTGAGTGGTCTACCACTGAGCCAGGATCCCAGCCCTGCATTTTGTTTCTTAGTGCCTATTTTTGTAAATAACAGTTTATTGGAACATAGTCACACCCATTCATTTATAGATTGTCTGAAGCTCCTTTCCTGCTACAAAGCAGAGCTTACAAAGCCTACCCTATTTACTGTCTGACCCTTTTCAGAAAATATTTGCCAACTCTCACTCTACATCATTAAAGTGGGGCAATGAAGGAAGGAGATTAAGGGGGAGGAGTAGGGAAGAGAATGTGAATGGATAAATCAGTTAATTCATACGTAACTCAGAATCTTCTCATTATGGGCAAATAGCTGACATGTATTTTAAGCTGAACATCCAGGGGTCTCCTACATTAGTGAAATTTGCATGTTATAGGTGTCAGTAGCTTTGTAGGTTAAAATTGGTTTTGACTAGTATAATTGTTGGGTTAAGTACTAGAGCAACAAAAATTATATACCAGAAAGTCATGATATATTATGTATATAATATAATATGTATATTATATCAGTTATTGTGTAATATATCAGTTAACACTGGAAAAAATATCTAGCTAGCATCAAGTCTCTTTCTAGTGTTATAGACCAAATAGCTTTACAGAAGAATAGTCTCTGAATAGAAATCGATAGTCACAAGGACCATTGAATATCTCAGAATTGAAATTTTCTTTTCTATCAAGTGAGTGAGATCAGATTGTCCTCTCTCATCCTCCCAGATAGTCAAACTGATTTATATACATATGGGAGAAACACTTGGTAAATCTAAGGCTGTGTTATTCCTTTTCCTTTTCCTTTTTTTTGGTACTAGAGATTGAACTCAGGGGCACTTGACCACTGAGCCACATCCCCAGTCCTGTTTTTGTATTTTATTTAGGGACAGGGTCTCACTGAGTTGCTTAGTGCCTTACTTTTGCTGAGGCTGGCTTTGAACGCATGATCCTCTTGGTTCAGCCTCCCGAGCTGTAATGATTACAAGCATGTGCCACTGTACCCAGCTCCTTTTCCTCTTGATTAAAGATATTGAAATACCAATGAAGTTCCTTAAGACAGATATTTCCAAAATATGTATTCCACATTTCCTTTGTTCTGAGATGCATTGTGCTTACCATTGAGCACTGCTGAGAACCACTGGCAGGGCTTTGTGTTGCAGGTTAATCATTTAAAAAAAATAAATATATAGCTGGTATCCCCTCCTTTGGAGGGTCTTAGAAATAATAAAAATTCTGAAGTATTTAATTCTCATTTTTAATTTTTTTTTCTTTGGTTTTGATGCTGGAGATTGAATCCAGGGCCTCAAACATGCTAGGAAAGTGCTCTACCACTGAGCTATTTCCCCATCCCTTTTTATATTTCATTTTAAGACAGGATCTTGCAAAGTTGCCCAGGCTGGCCTCAAATATGGGATCTTCCTGCCTTAGGATCCCAAGTAGCTCAGATTCAAGGCATCCACTGTCATGTTCAGTTCATTATCTAATTTCTAAAAGTAGGGTCACTTTACATTTAGATTATGCTACCTCTACTTTTTTTTTCTAAAGGGATGGAATTAATAAGCATACTTGCTGAGTTTTAGCAATAATTAGTTGTGAAAATGCTTCAGTTAGATGATTGGACTTAGAGTTGAATATAAAAGAACAGTATGGTAGTGTGTCTGCCTGAAGCAATTAGTATGTATATGAGAAAAGATCTAATTTGACATGATGTAAGCCATCTTTTGCAAGAAGGAGAGAGTGTAATTTGTGACATTTTGGGTAAAAAAGAAGCTAAAAGACATTTTTCTTCTTAAAAGGTTTTGATTATCTTTGATTTGATTTTCTTTAACTCTCTGCTTTTAAATAAGATATTTCATTTAAGTCCTTTCCACTTTGTACATGTTGCTCAAATTACCCTTTTAGCCTCAATTCTCTCATCTTTGAGAGAAGAGGATTGATTAGGTAATTTTAATGCCTGCTTTCAGCATGTATCTTCTGTGGTGGTCTGATATATTTCAGAGTACTAAAAGGGCCATTTTGCTGTTATCTTTATCAAATGTTGATGAGCTCCACATGGTTGCAGTAGGACGGCACATAGGAAAGGGCATCAATATTCACATGGTTCTGTGGAAAGACATCAATATTCACATGGAGCCCTATTGGCTGCTCAAAATACACCATAAAAACAACCAGAGTTTGGGCTGGGGATGTTGCTCAATGGTAGAGCACTTGCCTAGCATGCATGAGAATCTGGGTTCTATCCCCAGCACAACAAGAAACAAAACCAAATAAACAGCAGACACAGTGGGTGGCACATGCCTGCAATCTCAGGAGGATCACAAGTTCAAGGCCAGCCTCAGCAATTTAGCCAGGCCCTAAGCAACTTAGTAAGACCCTGTCTCAAAAAATAAAAGGGCTGGGAATGTAGCTCAGATATTCAATCCCCAGTACTGAAAAACAAAAACAAAAATAAAACAACCAGAATTTGACATTTGCACTGCTTACTGTGAATTTTCTTTTGAAGTTTGGCTCTAACTTGAGGTGATCTTAATCCTCTTTGGGAGGTACTTCTGGGACTTTCAGGCTTTGACATATTTGCTGTGATAAAACTTTTCTCCCCTTTTGTAGAGTTAAGCCCAGATCATCCAGCAATGTATGTAGCACACATGCACACATACATACTTGTGTAGTTTTTGTCTCCTTTTTCTGTCTTCTGTCCTGTGACTGGCCTGTTTTCCTTCCTTTCCCTGAAGTTTCATATAGAAATAATTGAGATGAAGTCACAGATATTAAAACTTTATCCAGAATTTGTGATTATTGGAAGGGACTCGATTGAAGTTGAGCCATACTTTCAGGAAAGCAGTGGCTAGTTAAGAAAATTGAGGATGCTTTTTTTTTCCATAGAGAAAATAGGCTGTTATAAACAAGTAAATATTAGAAAGTTACTTGATGTGTACAAAATTAAAAACAGAGGAGTAGTGTGGTTTAAGTGATAGTATCATTGGCTCAAAGAAGGTATCTTCTAAGCCAGCTGGAAAGCATGTGAGACCTGAAGAGAAAACAGTGAATTAGCGTAGCCTTGAAACACATGTCTGGAGTCAGGCAAATCTGACTCTACCTCTTATAGCTATAGGACCTTAGGTCCACATTCTTAACTCCTCTTTGCCTTTGGTTTCTTCACTTGTAAAATGGAGAGCATGATCACTTTGCAATATATCTATATCTTTTGTGTGTATGTGTGTAATACGGGGATTGAACCCAGGAGTGCTTTATCACTGAGCTACATCCCCAGCCCCTTATTATGTTTTATTTTGGGACAGGGTCTCACTAAGTGCTGAGGCTGGCTTTGAACTCGGGATACTTGTGCCTCAGCTCTTGGTAACCAGGCCTGGCAGCTACATATAATGTTTTTTTTTTTTTTTTCTTGGTACCAGATATTGAACCCAGGGGTGATTTATTTATTTATTTATTTATTTGCTTCAGGTGGACACACGATGTCTTTATTTTATTTTTATGTGGTGCTGAGGATCGAACCCAGTACCTCACGCATGCTAGGCGAGCATGCTCCCACTTGAGCCACATACCCAGCCCCTTTATTTTTTATTTTGAGACAGGGTCTCACTAAGTTGCTTAGGGCCTCAGTAACTTGCTGGGACCAGCTTTGAATTTGTGATGCTCCTGCCTCCTGAGCTGCTGAGATTACAGAAGTGTGCCACTGCATGTTGCTATATATAAATCTTATAAAGCTCAGCATAGTGCCTGATTTGTAGATAATGCTCAAGTTAGCTACTGTTGTAGTTGTTTACATCAGTTTTATTGCTGCCTTTTTAAGATCTTTTTTTCTTTGCATATTAGATTTCTAAAACATGAATGTATCATACACCATTTATATTTAGATAGATGTTTTCCTGATAAAATTTAAGGGCGCACACCTGTTAATCATCTTGTAAGGCTAGAGTGACTGTACTGGGATACATTCCCATCTCTTTGGGGTGAATCTTTTTTTTTCCTGGATGAAATACTTTCTGTCACCTGACTTTGGAATATGTGTCTTCTTTGGGTCCTATAGCCCCTTCACAGCTGTTACATCTCTTGTGATATTCGAACTATTTATGATAGCTCCAAAAGGTAAATAATTTAAATGTCCCTCAACTAGAGAATGTATAAAGAACTTGTGGTACATTCATACAATGACATCGTATTCAGCAATAAAAAGGAAATGGACTGTTATGACATACAATTAATTATATTAATAGCTCTTAAAATAATTATTCTGAAGTAAAAAATAAAAACTACACCAAAAAAAGTCCATATTAGATGATTCCACTAACATAAAATTTTAGAAAATGTCAACTAAACTACTGTGACAAGACAATAAAGCAGCTTCAAGAAGGGAGTTTTTGAAGTCATAGTGTCCTCTTTTTTTTCTTATTATAAGTTGCATCTAGTTGAGTGAGTCTCTGA